ACTCGACTATGTAGTATTTTTTCGCTACACAACGGCACATAGCCGGACTATTACGGTGGGCGCGGATCCGCTGCTGCGTCCCACAGGAGATGCAGTCTATCTACCCGTGGCACATCATCTTGCATCATGTTAAAAGGGGTTACCCTCAGCGTTACTTATCCTGCATCCTGCTGTAGCCACAGTAGATGCAGTCTACCCGAAAGAACGTCGAAACAATNACCCTTCTTGTCCTCTACAGGTCTGCAGCACGAAGTGTGGAAAGTGAATGGGAGCGGGCGTTCGGTCGGCGAAAGGTGGGACGCCTGCTGGAAGACTCTCAACCGGGAGCCCTTGGTCAGGATGTTCAAGGAGAAGTCGTCTTCAATTTGCAAGCATCGCTACGACAAGATCGTTGACGACCAGAGCAAGAGCGATGGTAAAGCCCTGCGGGACTCCGGAGCCGGCACTGCTGAGAGTGGCTCGGAGGACGAAGTAGAGAAGAATACCAAGGTCCAGCTGGTGAGGGGTCTAAAGCCANGAGCGGGCGTTCGGTCGGCGAAAGGTGGGACACCTGCTGGAAGACTCTCACCCAGGAGCCCTTGGTCAGGATATTCAAGGATAAGACGTCCAAAAATTGCCAGTCGCGCTACGACAAGATCGTTGACGACCAGAGCAAGAGCGATGGTAAAGCTCTGCGGGACTCCGGAGCCGGCACTGCTTAGAGTGGCTCGGAGGACGAAGTAGAGAAGAATACCAAGGTCCAGCTGGTGAGGGGTCTAAAGCCAAAGCTATCTCTACCTTTTGTGACGGGCGCAAGCCTGAGTGTACACGATCATGGCACAGTCTAAACAAGACGGGCACGAATATCTTCACATACATGGAGAATCCGCAATCCATAGAGTATCGTGAAACACCTGCGCTGTCCCGACGGAAGAAAATGACTGCCGTCGTCACCAACGTTAAACTTGCAGATAAGAGGGGTACGCACAGGGTTAGCCGTAAGTCCAACTTAAAATGCGCAGCATGACAAAAGAAAGACAGAAGTAGATAGACAGCACGAAAGCCCGAGTGCTACACGCCAGGCGACGCAAAACGTGCAGAGAGTTAGCTTGCTGAGACGGTCCTTCACCCACAAAATCAAAACAGCGTCGAGGTTTTCACTCCCACTCTATTGTTTAGGGGCGTGACGTAGCAGTGTTGACACGAAAGTACAAAACAGACGATGCATATAGCTATCGCCGACGCTAGTGATGAAATTTGTAAGTCGTAGAGCTGACGGGCTGCCGCGCCGCTGTTGCTTCTTGTCCCCGATGTGCCGCACAGGACAAAGTTCTGACCGCGATAGTGGACGCGAAGGCTGCCGCGAGGCATGACTCGGAGGAGACCGAGCAGAAGAAAGCCGACGAGGCGGCCTCGCACTCCGCGATGGGGATGTGGGCCATCAACCAGGGCAAGGCCCGATGCGGGCCGGGCGCGAAGGCTACATCATTCCAAGAAGCTGTTGCCGCCGACAACATCGCGTTGGGTTCCCGCTCCGGTGCAGTGGACGGTGGCCGTGCCAGCGGTCGGGTGAGTCCGGCCAGCAGCATCGGGGGGGCGAGGCCCGCGTCGGAGGCTTCGGCGGGTGGCGCTGCCAGCGGTCGATCGAGCCCGACCATGAGTACGGGCGGGCTAGACGACGACTTCTCGCCCGCGGGGAGCGGGCCATCGAGGAAGGTTCCACCGCTTGGCGACTTGGTGAAGCACATGGGGTCGCTGACCATTCCGATGCTTGCGGAAAGTGCCGGGGTCACCACGGAGGAGGCGGACTACTTCCTCAACACGGGCTTCACGGCCGACGAAGTTCAGCCGGAAAGGGCCGTGGCCAAGATGACGGTACTACTCGACAAAAGGCGTAGTCTCCAGCGCGACGGAGACAGCGTCCAGGACTCAATGGATGATCTTGGTGAAGAGGATATGCAGCTGCCCGGGTTTGATAGGTTTGACGAGTCGGTCATGTTTAAACTGCTCGAGCCCTACGGCGTGGAAATGATGGACTTCCGCAGCCTGCCGGAATCGAACTGGTTTCACAGCGGATGGCCCATAGAACGTGTTACGCCGGACAAGGTGCTTCAGGTTACGAAGCGGGTGGCGAGGTTGTTGGTGCTTGGCGCCGGCGTGACGAACTCCGGGCTGTCCGCCGCCGGTCAGACATCCATCCCCGGTCCTGCAACAGTTGGGGGTGCGCGCGCCATGTCAGGCATGGACCCTTTAGGGGCGGCGAGTGGGCCTTCGGGAAACCGTGGAAGGAAGCCCCGTGCCAAGACCAATTATCTCGCCAAGGATGGGCTAGATAGGTAAGGCTGTTCGTCGGCTCTGCCCACGTCTTGGTTCTGGCAACTCCTTCGTGTGGTAGACGCTGTGCATTATTGTTAGATTATTTTGGTGGACGTAACCTGTACCAGAGAAGTGTCATCGCAGCATTATTGTTGGCTACTCCATCAGGGAGGTGCCAGAGCTTACCCTACCCTGGTGCCTCTCTTGCGCCGTTGTGCCACGTTTCCCAGCTTCATGGAGCGACAGGCGGCTGACGCTCGGGCACTCGCCGATCAGAAACGTGAAGAGGACGAGAGGAGGCGGGCGACGGAAGCTAAACGAGAAGTAGGGAGGAGGCAAGAGCTCCTGGACATGATGGCCCACGAGAGGGCAATGCGGGAAGATGAAAGAAAACACGACAGACAAGAGCGTGAAGTGGAGAGGGCGGCTGCACGGGCAGAGCAAAAGGCAGATCGTGACCACCAAATCAGGATGATGCAACTCCAGGTGGACCTGGCGAAGGCGAAGGGCAACAATAACTAGCTAGCTGGTTGGGGTTGCTGTTGCTGCAGTTGCTAGGGCATGCGTTGCATTTTTTTTTTTTTTTCAACAGCAGGCTCTTCAAAAACATATCGTGGCGTCCGTTGCGCCTTGCGCGTTTTTTTCTGGGGGGCTTGTCTGTTCGGGGTAGGGAAAAATGGGAATAGGTTTTCGCCCTTGCTGCTGCTGCAGTTGCTAGGGCGTGCGTTGCATGTGTTTTTGTTTTTTTCAACAGCAGGCTCTTCAAAAACATATCGTGGCGTCCGTTGCGCCTTGCGCGTTTTTTTCTGGGGGGCTTGTCTGTTCGGGGTAGGGAAAAATGGGAATAGGTTTTCGCCCTTGCTGCTGCTGCAGTTGCTAGGGCGTGCGTTGCATGTGTTTTTGTTTTTTTCAACAGCAGGCTCTTCAAAAACATATCGTGGCATCCGTTGCGTATTGCGCGTGTTTTTCGGGAGGGCTTGTCTGTTTGGGGTAGGGACAAATGGGAATGGGTTTTCGCCCTTGCTGCTGCTGCAGTTGCTAGGGCATGCGTTGCATGTGTTTTTGTTTTTTTCAACAGCAGGCTCTTCAAAAAAATATCGTGGCGTCCGTTGCGCCTTGCGCGTTTTTTTCGGGGGAGGCTTGCCTGTTCGGGGTAGGGAAAAATGGGAATGGGTTTTCGCCCTTGCTGCTGCAGTTGCTAGGGCGNATGGGTTTTCGCCCTTGCTGCTGCTGCAGTTGCTAGGGCATGCGTTCCATCCATGTGTTTTCGTTTTTTCAACAGCAGGCTCTTCTAAAGAATATCGTGGCGTCCGTTGCGCCTTGCGCGTGTTTTTCGGGGGAGGCTTGCCTGTTCGGGGTAGGGAAAAATGGGAATGGGTTTTCGCCCTTGCTGCTGCTGCAGTTGCTAGGGCATGCGTTCCATCCATGTGTTTTCGTTTTTTCAACAGCAGGCTCTTCGAAAGAATATCGTGGCATCCGTTGCGCCTTGCGCGTGTTTTTCGGGGGAGGCTTGCCTGTTCGGGGTAGGGAAAAATGGGAATGGGTTTTCGCCCTTGCTGCTGCTGCAGTTGCTAGGGCATGCGTTCCATCCATGTGTTTTCGTTTTTTCAACAGCAGGCTCTTCGAAAGAATATCGTGGCATCCGTTGCGCCTTGCGCGTGTTTTTCGGGGAAGGCTTGCCTGTTCGGGGGAGTCTTTTATCAGGAGGAACAATTGAAACATGAAACTGGCATCTAACAAGTGGCGTCTGCCTTTTGCGCAGTGCTTCACCCGCACGATACATTCCGTACTTCCCGTATGCATCCGCTCGCGTTTGCCCACAATATAAATGACCAGCAAGGAGGAGACGACTTCTTCGCACCAAACAATTTAACTCCCAGGAAGTTAACCGGTAAAACCCTCCAAAATAACTGTCCCCAATAACCGCGTCATCCGATTGTTACGCAATGCTTATTCACCCGTACGATATACATGCACCGCCCGTGCTTGCCCTCTGCATCGCCCGCGTTTGCCCACCTAAACGACCAAGGACAAAAAACTTGGCGCTGATCATTCGAAACTCACATAAAATTGGGAAGTCTATCGTGCGCGACTTGCTCACGCCAGCAAACGGCTATTTGTCTTGGTTTACGCCTGGAACACCTAAGATGCCTAGAATTCTCACACAACGTGGGTGCATCTTGCACTTACAGTACTCCTCGAAAGTGGGTGGCACCACGCCCGAGTATTGCGAAATCTCGTTGCCCCCGTTCATGCATGAGTGCCAGTTAGAAAGCAGAGTGGCTACCCGGTACTACTGCTTGGCGACAGGGCTTAGCAAGAATTTCTGCTGCGGCTTCATGTTCACAAAGGCCCACTTGCCGGTCATCTCTTTGAATCCCCATTCCACCGAGACGCGGCAGTGGCTCATACGCTTGTTGAAGTCGGCCATCTCTGGCGTTAGAGGGCCGACACTTGACNTGCATGAGTGTCAGAAAGCAGAGTGGCTACCCGGTACTACTGCTTGGCGACAGGGCTTAGCAAGAATTTCTGCTGCGGCTTCATGTTCACAAAGGCCCACTTGCCGGTCATCTCTTTGAATCCCCATTCCACCGAGACGCGGCAGTGGCTCATACGCTTGTTGAAGTCGGCCATCTCTGGCGTTAGAGGGCCGACACTTGACGAGTTAACAGGACAGACAAGGTGGTTGCTCAGTCCATTCGCCGGCTCTCCGTACAAACAGTACGGATACACGATTCGCTCATCCCGAAAACCAAGCGCATGTCTTTCAGGCGGCATGGGAAAGCAAGCCGATCCAGGAGCACGCACAGAGCCTCACGCCCGCTAACCACGAACCCACAGTCAGTTCAGATGAACGCGGGGATCAACAGCAGATCCAGCATCAGCATAACCTGCATCACGTGACACCACACAGGAAAGCAAAGAACGATGTGTTACTTGTTATTCCAGGGCACACCTCTCCGTTGGCTTGTGANATTCCAGTGCACACATCTCCGTTGGCCTGTGGGTCTAACATAGCACGGTGGCTTGACGCACCCAGAACGGCTAACTCCTCGCGACCCACGGGATGCTGACATACTGCTGCTGCTGTTGAACGACATACTGACACACACACTGCTGCTGCTGATAGCCGGAGTACACATGTCCAAGCCACAGCAACGATATAATATTTAGCTGCGATATGCACTCACTTGCGATTGCGTGAAACGTAGAAAGTTGACGCAGTCCTGTTGGCTGAAGAATGCTGTCACGTCCCTACGTGCGATACTCGTGGGCGTGTCGTCGAGTTCCAGACGGGCTATCGCGTAGATGAAAGCGATGTTGTACACGAACCATATATCNATTAGCAAAAAAAATGGCTCTGGAGTCCACAAAAAATGGGGAGCCCGTGGTCTCAAAACCCGGCATAAACGACGCCGCGGGGATGCAAAACAAAAACGGCACGGCTATTTGGGACAACGTTGTCCCAAATTTTTATTTGGGACAACACGTCTAACTCGGCGTAGAAAGCTCGGATCGACCTCACACCATATTTGTTGTAATCCTACTGGACACAGCTTTCACGGAATGTATTTTGAGTCCACAACGGAGCCGGGCACGAGGAGATAGAGCCTAAAAAAGGGGCTCCGTGGCTTCGGTAAATCCACGTTTTCCTCCATAACTCGGCCCAACCACCTCCGAAACATCCCCAAAGACCTTTGTTGTGTTTGTATGATCCACAGCTATCATCCAAGCCATCGGGTGGCCTTACCCGACCTGTACATGCGGAGATATGCCCTCCCAAGGGGCACCGCAGGATTATTGGGAGGTGTCCTGTACATATCCGCGTCGTTACATCGATGCCCACGCCCCGCCAAGATGGGAAAGGGCCTGAGATGAAGTTGACCGGCTCCCAGCTTTCATTCAAGCC